TATTGATATTGCTGTTGTTCCAAAATGCCGAAGCACCGTGGCTGCTCAAACAGCACAGCAATTCAAAAATGTCCTCGAAGAAGTGCATAACAATTTGGAATCATCTAATTCCAAATACAAACAGTTAGCTGATGCTCATCGACGGCATCAAGTGTTTAGTCCAGGCGACTTGGTTATGCTTCGGGTGCGCCGTGAATGGTTTCCTACTGGAACGTATACGAAACTCAGTCCACGGAAGATCGGTCCATTCCCCATTTCTCGGAAGATCAACGATAACGCCTATGTTATTGATTTACCTTCCCATATTCAAACTTCTTCAACCTTCAACGTGGCTGACATTTACAAGTATCACCCGCTGGATGAAGCAGATACTTCACTAGCTTCTCCTGAGAGCAGCTCTTCTGAAGAGGGGGAGATATGATGGGACTATCATAACAAGGATATCACTACCGCAGGAATAGTATATCCCGGGGCAGCCACTACCACGGTCACTTTTCAGTTTCTATTTTACCTTTCTGTTATTGCACGTTCTTCTTATTCCCTTTATCTTATTTCGGGAATAGCCCATGCTGTAGCTAGAGGAGTATATACATCCTCTCAGAAATTACTCACGAAATGATATTGATAATAGAGTATTCTACCATTGCTACTGTTCCATTGGTTTTCCTCTGTTTTCCTAACCCTCTTGCAGGTTGTTTCCGGCTCTCCTCCGCTGAAGGCCCTAGCTCCGGCGATTCAGTGTGGAAAGGTACATCAACCAACTAGCTAATCAGACGCGACGAACCTGCCTGGAGCGAGCCCATCTTAGAGGCAAGTTCAGTTGAATCTAAGGGCTCGATCCCAGACTTCATAGCATTCAACGGAATAGAGGTTAGCGAAGAGAGAAAGCAAAGGCTTCGGCTAGCGAAGTGAGTGAGCGCGGGTACGCAACAAAATTACAATGCCTCCACCTGTTTCATCGAGACTACCTCTTTCTTTTGGTAATGTGGAAGTCACCAACTCAGCTCACCCTTCAGCACTCTCATGAGCAAATCGTTACCTGAAGAAAATGGCACGGTAGAGGCTGTGTTATCCTTTGTGTACGCATGTTGACTATGGCAGCAGCTACACGTGCCATTAAGACTTGCTCAAATCTTAATCAATTTGGTCAAAATAAATCAATGGGGCCATATTCACTCTAAGAGTCCATTTGTGATGGCTTTTTACTAACCTACGCTGCTTTATGAAAACAATGGAAGGATCGTTGGGGACATCAAAATGATTTTGTAAAGTCAGATTAAAAGTTTAAAATGATTTTTTTATATAATATCCAAATAATATGTTAAATGATGATATATTAACTTTCTCTTGAACTATGAAGTAACATATTATGCTTTGATTACTTTATTAATTTGATGGGGACATCAGTTCGTGAAAGGTTTATCAGAGGCGTGGCTGCCAATCTACGACCACGATCGAGGCTTTGTACTTTTGAGTTATTTATGTTATTTTCTTATTTATGTATTTTTCTATTTTCAGTGTAGTATATTTGTTTTCCAGTTGTACCCTTTTAGTGGGAGATATCGTATGTAAGCCCGGAGGGCAATTTTGTCTTTTATTTTCATGAGTCCCATGTACTTGGCTATTTATAGCCTCATGTTTTATTTTTCAAGGTAATGAATGATTATCATGAGATTTTCTTACACTTGTGTTTTGAGAGCGCTTGAGAGAACTTTGGAGAGATCCCTAGGAGAGGGAGAGCGGATCACCCACCAACCTTGGAGATGGCCGGGTTCGTGGTTTTCTTCTTTATCCTTTGTCGTTTTCCCTCCACCTCAACTATCGCTTGACCTTGCATCCAAACCTTTTCCACCTCCAAACCAACATCTCCTCCTAACCGGCTCTACCCGAAATTCCCCACCCCCTCCATACCGCCGGCCCTAGGTCCCTAGCCGTTGGCCTCACACATCCCCCCTTCCACTCTTGAGTTTCCTAATTGGGTTGTGAGTTAATTTAGGATAATTTTGAATTTCAACTCATTTGAATTTTAAATTCAAAATCCTTCCTAATATAACCCCTCTATTTTAGGAAAGTATTTATTTGGATCTAATTTGAAATTTAAATTCAATTGGATTTAAAATAAATCTTTCCTAAACCCAAAACCTAAATTAAGAAACCTTAATTGCACTCATTAATTGCCCCCTTTACTCCATCATGCCGCCGGCCCCTATAGGGGAATTTTGGGAATTTATTTCCTATTCCTCCTCTAACTCCTCTTGGAAATAAATTTAAATCCCCTCCACGTCCTCCCTAGCCGAAATTTACTGAACCTTTATTTAGTTTGATTTCCAAAGAAGGCTCTCCAATCTTGGAATCAAATTGAAGCCCTCTCTCTCCATAGCCGCCCCTCTCTCCCAAATCTCTCTCTCGCTCTCCACTTGATTCCCCACCGGAAGTTAAGGATTGGATTCTTCCCCTAGAATTCTCATCATTGATTTTCTCAAATCTGAAAGTTAATTGCAGATTTTGGGAAAGGAACTTGTTCTTAGCCTCTTTCCGATCTTCTATTGGAGAGAAACTTCTTTCTCTCCCTATTAATCAAGAGTGCTAATAATCCTTGGAGGACTTGCCAACTCGCATCCATGAATGGCGGATCCAGAAACTAAATACGCCTTAACCTTTGACGAGGACGGCTTCACTGATATTCTTCAGTCAACCTTCTTCGACGTTAATACGAGGATCGACCACACAGTCGAAGACTACCTAGAGCGTATTCTAGACACTTTAGTGGAAGCAATCGACGAGCATTTTGAAGGCGTCGAGCGGAGGATCTCCACCGCTCCTTGACGAGAGGTTCTCTTTTCCTCTTTCATTATATTTCTTAAATCTAACTTTATCTCACGAAGGACGATTCTCCTTGCTCATGCTAAGCTTAGTAAACGTAGGGTTTTGAGTGTGCTTCTGTGCTTATTAACTATCGTTGTTAGATTAGGGATTGTATTGAAACTACTATTCCGACATAACGTGATTTAATAATTTATTTTGAAAGTTTTCCAAAGCTCTGGTTATGTGATTTAGCCTAAAAGGGTGTGACCCATTTCTTGTTTTATTCGTTGTTTTAAAAAATGCTAATGGTTTCACCATTGCTAATCTAATCAAAAGTTATGCAAATCTTTACACACATTGCATTCGTACGTAGTCCTGCATCATAATTTTTATGTATGATTTATAAATTATAATGTCGTGTTCACGCTATACCCACATCCTGTATTTTTAAGAATTGATGTGTCCCGTATCTGTATCATGTTGTATTCGTGTCGCCGTATCCGTATGGGTGCAACATAGTTGCCTACTCATCTAATTTTAACTTCTAAAGAAAGTTAAAATAATTGGCAACTCATAAATCATCTGTACTATCATTACTAAGAGGATTTTTATTTGAGTCACTATCATAACAAATTGGTTTATTCCCTACCTAATCTTGTAGGGTCCAATACCTCTAAATCTGCTTCTTCTTCATTTATTTCAGTCATCTTCATCTTACGTAAATATTTGTAATCAACATAAAGATAATCTTCCGATATTTTAAGAGGAGATGGTGGTGGTGTGCGGCTTTCTAGTGATCTCCTGCGGCAGCTACGATGATGGTGTCTACAGTGAAGGCGGTGGGTTGGAGGACGAGACAATTAAGAGGAAGTTGCTACGGCTTGAGAGTGCAAGAAGATGTGATTTTTTTGGAGCTTTTGTATAAGATTTAAGTAAGTTTTAAATTAAGAAAAAAAAATACATGATAGAGTGAGGCATACGCTTCATGCCAGCGAGGCGAGGCGCGCCTCAAGGCAGGTCTCATCCAAGATGAGGCTTAAACCTCATAAAAAAAGCCCAAGGTGTAAGCCTTGAGACGTTTTTTACTGGAATTGCGTTGAGGTGAGCCTCATATTGCGCAATTTTAAACAATGGTTTACATAACCAAATTGATCATGCTAGGTCCATCCTGCATCGACGAGGCTTTCTTAAAGCAACACCTTCCTCCCCCTCTCTAAGAGCTTCCTCACACCACAATCTATCCCATACAGACGTGTGTTCTTTTAAGTAAAAATCCTATGCCCCAACTTTCCTCCCATTAATGGATTTTATTTCTCATAAAACTAAAACTGCATGAGAAGGGCAAACCTACACAGCCCAATTAACCTAACACAACCAGTTACTGTTATATCTTAGAAGTTCTAATTAAACAGCATTTGCCACAACTACACAGAATGGTGGAAATTTTACTAAAATGAACATCTAACTATACAGGCCATTAAAGGAAATCTCAATTTAATAATTTCCTGGTAAATCAACTAGCATAAGATGCAGACTTAAAAAAGAATAAAATGCAATGGATGATTAAAGAAATCCATGTGTTAAGATGCAGCCCTAAATAACATAAGATGCAGCTCAAGGACATTAGATAAGTGGGATGTTAACGGTTGAAGTTGATCATACAAACGAAAATGAAGATGGTGATGAGGTTTTACCTAAACTTAATTCAAGCAACTTGTTCTATTTCACTAGAAAATGCAGCAAGCAGAATTCTCAATGAAGCACAATATAGCACAATCAACATGATGCTTCATACGGACATAATGGCCCACATTCAGAAACAAAAACAATGCCAACAAGTAGCTTTAGAAAAAATCATTATCCGTAAAAACATTTATAACAAATTAAAGCTTAAAATTCCATTCAGTTTATTAACTGAACGAATTGAATTATAAAACTTAAAACTATTTATGACAAGACTTAACCAAATGATACTTCTATTAGTTGATAAAACATTCTAGCCATATGATGGCGTGCACGGAGTGTTTACAAAAATAAAATACAAAAAGGACCAATGAGCTTCCCAAAACAAAAACATAAATAGTATGACTTGTAAAGTGTCTGAATAACCTAGGTAACCATGTAAATGCGTCTATACTTCTCAAATGAACAAATATTCAATAAAATCAGCATAGCATAACAATTCATGATTATACCTGAATGAGCGTCTCTACACGACGACGCATCCTGGTGTGCATGAAACCTTCCGAGCACTGCATAAGAACAAGATGCACATGTAATTTTGTATAAAATTTGAAACTTCTGAGAAAAACTAAGAGAGCAATCTAAAGAACATATTTCTTTATCCACATCCTAACCCACCCACTTAACAACTATAATATCATTAAAATGATAAATGAAGTGTATGTTCATGCTTTTGACCTTTCAATAAACTGGCACACCGAGGGCATCGGTGACGTGATTGATGGAGTAGGTTAGGGCAGCTTCATCTTGAAAGATGATATGGAATAATAAACTTCTTTTATGTATTTTTGTTTCAAGTTTACCTAGTTGCCAAAAGTTAACACAGGAATGTAAGGCCTAATATAAAATGGTTGACCTACTATCAAAATAGCATAATTAAAAAGATTCCATTGAACAAGAAAATCATAAAAAGATGGACTTTTTAAAGGAGGCGGTGAGTAGCAAAAGTATTTGTACTTTGACATGGTAATTGACATATGCATGAAATGTTGATAAACTCCAAGCTGTTTTGTCAAGTTTCCGAACGTCAGCATGCCGAGGGTAGATCACTGCACCAATAAGCTTGTTTAAGAACGATTATAAACACTATAGTGATTTGTTAAGTGCTTAGCCAATACCAAAGGTGACAAATCCTGCATTTGCTGCTACTGCATCTGGGGGAGCTCCTTTGAGCTCTTGAGGAGGAGTTGGAGACCATGTACAGAGAGGTGCATTACTAAGGGCAGCGGCTCTCCTTGACTCCACAAATTCCTGCACTTCCAAAGGGTCGTGCTAAATTACAAATAACTGTGAGATTAACCAATTGGAATAATTGTAGAAATAATCAGATTATTTTGTACTCACATATGCAATGATTAAGTTATCCGGATGCAAATTTTATAGCTACTTAAAGATGCGCTAAGATTATTATTTAAGCTACTTTCCATTCTTGACACAATAAATGAAATTATCAACATTGATCATAGCATCACAAAATTCATAGTTTAGGGATATTTACCTGTAAGAAGGAAGTAGCCAGAACAATATCAACAGAATCCCTAAATCTCATTGGAAAGATAACAGTGACCTTTTCAACCTGCCATAAGAGGAAATAAGGAATTAGACCTGGTTCTTTTCTATACTTTTTTTCTCTTCAAAGTAAATTATCAGTTATATGTTATTATGTTTTGCAATCAAATTTAAATGTCTCCAAGCTTGACACCTTTCTCAATTCATGTCACCTATGTGCATAGGATATACACGGACGAAGGACAAATTAAAGGTTACACTTTCTAAGCGAGTTAATACAGAAAAATCTACCAAAGTTAAACTTTCAATCGACCAGAACAACACATAATTATCTAGAAATAGATTTGAATACCATACCTGCGTTGCATAAAAGTAATATCATAATAGTAAATGTCTGATATATCTAGATAATTCAAGTTTTTTTTTTGGGACATTTAGGCCATTTAAGGCAAACTCACACACACAACGCATACACATGGACTCAAACCTTGGACCTCTTAGTTGGAAGCCTAAGCTCTCAACCAATAGGCCAAAGAGAGCTGTGTAGATAATTCAAGTTACTTAATATAAAAGTAAGGCGCCAGTGAAAAGTACCGTTACCTGAGGAATAAGGAAAAAAGATTCCTTAGGTCTATGCACTAGAGCAATAAGTTGACCCATATTAGGGAAAGTAGTCCTCGAAGCAAGATGATGTAAGACCATTCTTAGTGGGGCCCCCAATACAACTTCTCTCACAGAAGCAACTTTTACCAAAATAGCCTTTCTTTGCTCTATATAAACATGAAAGGTAATATAAGTCACATCGCAAAATAAAATATAGGAAGCTGAGGCAAATATCAATTAGAGACAAAGGCTGAACTCCTTGAAGGACAGTTTTGCCCAAACCACAAAAACTGCATGCAAAAAGATGCTGATTGCTGGCACAGATAAAAGCAAGCAACAAGTTTTTAAATGCGTTATGTCAAAAAAATAATAATTAATACATAACATGCAGCACAAAGGCTCGATGTCTGATACACGGTATCTACACCCAACTCTTAATATCCTAATATTAATCATTTTAAGTACAAATTTTAATTAAAGGACTTATTATTTCTAAATTATTGTTAATATTATCCTTATTCAATTTTTCTACACTATTTTTTAAAATAAAAATTATAATACCATGTCCAACCCGTGTGTGTATCCTGTCGTATCTGTATTGCAGTGTGTGTCTATGCATCATAAATCGTCATCCATTGCCTCAATAGGGAGGGGATGAACACGGTAAGTCGGCCTACATTGGTTCACCAGATCGGCTCCCTTCATCATCCAATTAGAGTGTTTGTGCAATCATTGGAACAATTATGAAGATGTGATTATTTTGGTAACAAGTTTGCAAATTTTGGAATATGTTTGGTCCTATAATTAATTTTTAAAACTTTAATTTGAGTTTGTTTGATCCTTTGAGTGATTTTGTATATGAAATTATGAATAGAAATTTGCGGTTGATCGGAATGTCGATATTGTTCGCTGGTTTGATTCAGGTTCGACATGAAAATGACCTAACATGCATATAACAACACGAGCCCATGTAAGCTAACACAAGCTCGAACCGAATCTTAAACGGGTGAATCCAAATCCCAAATTTTTGTGTCAAGTTCAAATCAAATTTTGAGTTGGGTTAAATATTGAAACCCCTAGTGCTTGATGAGATAAAATTGTCGGTACCCTTAGTAATATTTTAAGTTAACATTCAACATGGTTCATCTACTGATTTTGTGATTTTATGTTTATGTGATTTTTTAAGTATGTTATTCTGAATGGCATATGAAAGAAATATCACAATGAATTGAACGACTATTAAATTATAAGAAGTTCATCATAATATCATCTCATCTTGAGCCGGTTTATACTAGCTCTTGTTATTGAAAGCATATGAGTGATGCTAAACATCATTATCCTGTTAGAGAAATATAATGAAGATTAATACACTCACAAGATTAAAACAGAAAATGATAACTAAGCTTTCTCCAATTGACCACAAACTGCTCTAATCAATATTTCTCTACTCAAAACAGGAAGATGATCAACTCAATAAATTTCAATTTTCAGCTTAGTTGATTCTTTAAAATTTTTTTAAAAGAAAAAAAGATTACTCCGGCAAAGACTAGCAGCAATTTGCTACAATGAGCTAACCAAGTCAAAACTAACAAGTTAAGCACCAAGCATGTAAATGTTAAAAAATTGAAATGAAAAGTCCTTTAAAAAGCTAATTGTATACACATGAAGCAAAACAAATCAAAATTAAAATCTAATCTAATTTTCAAACCATAGCACAAGCTATCATATTTCCACAATATCCCTGGATTTCATATTTTCAGTCCATTTAAACTTTCGATCAAAACAGAACACTGTTAAATCCTTCGCAAAAGTTGGAGTAACATAAAGCACCAATCGCATCAACACAAAAAGTTGGTTGCATGCTTTTTCCTTTTGTGTCCGTAAAAAGTTTTTTTAGGCCAGCACATGGCATAAGTCTTCAAGATAACTATTTCCCTCATTAGAGTTCAACATCAACATTCCAGTAATAGTTGCAGCTATAAGCATCATTTTACTTCAACATCCAGAAATCTTGATTTCGATGGGATAGCACTTCCTACATCAAGGATTTTTTTTCCCAAAAGCAAAGTTTAAATGCCCACCTAAAACCAAAACAGACAAACACTTGTACTATCAAGTTATTCCCTTCACAAAAGTTCAAAAAACATATGAGCCCTACTTTAGTGTTTGTTTTTGAGACATCTAAAGTTTCAATCTCAATTTCATCTCTACCAAAACAGAGTTCTCATATTCAATGCTTTCAAAATGCTCAGTGCAAAGGTTCTTTCTTGCATTAATACACAAAAAGCAAAACAAAGTGGCGCTTTTATTAATTAGAGTGCCCATGACTTGTGAATCATATGTACAGCTAGTATGTGCATTTAATAGTCACTTAATCAACCAAACTTAAACTATACGAAGTAATAATTTTTAGCGAATATGATGATACATTTCATAACAATAATTTTTAGTTATCTTGAAGAAAAAAAAAAGAATCAAAGACATAAAAGACTAAGTGACAAACTGATGAAAAAATACCTAAAAATTAAGAATAATCATAAAATTGACAGATCGCTAGAGACAGAGAGACAGACAACATGAAGCGAGAGAAAGTGGGAAAATGAGCACCAAGAAGCATGCAAAAAATACATCAAGAAACTTATGATCAAAAAGCTACTAGAGTCAGTAGCAAAAAAAAAAAAAAAAAAAAAAAAAAAAAACTAGAGAGCATGAAAAGAACCACCAAGACAAGACTATATCCAATTAGAGAAAAAAAAAAAAAAAAAAACTAGAGAGCATGAAAAGAACCACCAAGACAAGACTATATCCAATTAGAGAAAATTGAGGACTAAGATCAACAACTAAAGAACCAATGAGAATAAGCAAGTGTTTGTGCACTAGTAATTGTGACAGATGTTAAACCAAGCCATAGGATCTAAACCAATACTTCATTTGAACTAAAGACAATTGTGCAACACAACAATGTGATGCAACAAAGCACTGTGAAAAGTGAGCTTTGCTAAGAGCTTGCACTTTGCAGGCAAATGATGTGTTATGACAGTGCATTGCTTCGCTTCACTTCTAAAGCGAGTTTGTAATAAAACTGCTCCTATTACTCTTAGCCCAATCTATGTCCTAACATCTAATGATTTGTTTAGTAGCTAGCAAGTCAAAGGATGTGGGACTTCCAACATTTAGAGATGTTAGCTCAAGAAATAACTTAAGAGAAGAGAATGTTTACTTATTTGTAACCCAAGTGATACTTTCACATAGGAGTGACTTCAGAACAAATAAGAGGGGCAGACAAATAATAAAACTCATTAGATTGTACTTCTCTAGTCGATGTAGCATGTTCTCTTCCTAACCTTAATTTCCAATCAACCAACTAATAGTTTCAACTTCCCCACTACCGATTTTAGTGCTGCTTACCTGCAACCAAGCAGCTTTAGCACAAGCAAGTTGTGAAGGAACCTTTCAGTCGGTAACTAACTAAAAAAAGAATGCTAACTAAGTTTTTGCCTTAAATGTTATATTGCATGACTAGCATTTAGAAGCTGAAATTGATTTAAGCATATCAACAAAGAAATTCATGGATGAACCACATATAAGGGTGTAAGTGCGTCAAGCTGACTTGTGAGTTCACATACAATCTTGCAAAACAAAAAGTTTAGAATGATCTTGGCAAAGAAACTCTTCATACCTTCATCTTGAGGAAGCTTAGTAAAGTTAAGCTTCATGGTAAGATTATATCCATCTTTTGGAGGATCCAGAATCTGAACAAGCTCTCCATATGCTCCCTTTACTGCTTCTATGGAACCCAATGGAAGGCCATTCACGAAAACGGTCTCTGGTGGTGGAATGGGTAGTGAAATTGACAATAACATCACCTGAGGGGACTTCACAGAGAACTGCAAAGCAAATAAAAAAGCATTCTTAGCACTTCACAAGTAAAGCGCAGTTCGCTCCGCTAAAAAAACTGTTGGCATTGAACAAAACTAATGCAAATTAAACACTTTGCAGTGGTCTTGTCATGTGACTGAACTAAAAAGTGGAGTGATGACAAGCAAATGTAACACATTTGCAGCAAAAACACACAAGATAAATAAATTACCTGAATATGATAACGAACATCATCAAATTCAACTGAATGGCAGTCGAGATCAACACTTTTCTCGGAACTGCAGCCCGATTAAAACAATAGGATGCACTCAAGAACAAGATTATCAAAGATACAGTGATAGAAATACGAACTTCTCACCTGATGAGACGATTCTGCAAGATCTGGAGGAGAAATCTCGACGCAGATTGCAGCAATATCATCCCTTACCAGCGGTTGAATCGACAACCTCACTTCGGCGATTAATACTACCGTTGAGATCTAACGACAGAAGAACTGCAGCCAATAACTTTGTACTTTACGTGAAGTGGAAAGACAAAAAATTCCTATCATTATACCAGAAACAGAAATTAAATCAGGTTAAACCGTTCCTCAACTCCACCTATAACCTAACCCTAAGAACCCTAACCTCCTTGGAGCTCCTTATCTCATCTCTTAGCAGCGCCAAGCACGCGGTCTCCTATAGGTGATCACGCGCTGTGGTAAGCGCCATACTCGTTGAGCCCGGTGAAGCAGAAAGTCCTGATCTTGGAATGGATACAGGGTAGATCTACCGGAGCCGACAGGGCTTCTCGTATCTCAATTAGTTGCACTAAGAATTTAAGTATAAAATATTATTCTGCGCATTTATTCTAAATACCTACTTCAGATAATCAGATCTATGTTTGCTCTGCTAAGAATTTAAGCTTTTCTAAAACTATATTCATATTATTCTGCCATTCAGCAGCCCACAATTTTAAACTCAGGATAGCCTATATACCTTCCAATTTATTGGAAAAAATAATCATCTCTCTCTCTCTCTCTCTCTCTCTCTCTCTCTCTCTCTCTCTCTCTCTCTCTAGTTACTAGTGAACAAGCTATAGTTGTTGAGCCTATGACATGGAAACTGAGGTGTCGGCCAAGGAAACGATGAAGGAATGAGCGGGGTACTAATGTCGTAGAAGGGTTTATGACATTGCTCTCATATGTCCACCTGGGTGACGTCCTTCCTCTTCCAGGTTTGATCTTAATGGAGGAGCTCAAATTAATGCTTGAGGACATGTGAAAGACAGTGCACCTCCAGCTCATCATTGAGCCCAGTTGTGGACGAGTGGCGATATTGGGGGAGGTCATCAAGCTGAATAAGGGGGCCTCTGACCTAAAGAAAAAGGTTATCAAACTGAAATAGGTGATCTCCATAATAAGGTATCAATATAATATTATGAGGACCTTAATCAGCTCAATGAGGGCCAACATAAGAGCTTCAATGCAAAGTCGACGGGCTTTGTTTCTTGTATTTTTTTTTTTTTTCTTAGATTACTTAAGAAGGTGTAGGGGGTTAGTTCTTACAATGGAAAATAATGTCTATATTGGATGCTCCATGGTAGCGAATAGACTCGCACCACTCCTATTGTATTCTTTTTTTTTCTCTCTTCTTTTCTTTGGAAGTTACATTTTGCATTAATTTTAGAGCATAAAAAAGTACAAGGAAGTACATGTTGGTATGAAAACTCTCATTTGTCTTTCCAAGATTAAAAAAAAAAAAAACAAGGAAAATAGGGAATAACTTTTCTATCTATGTCAATCCATACATGAGAACAACAAAAAGTGTTAAGGACCAAAAATAAAAGAAACTAGAAGCCCCTCAACAAGCAAAGTGATGTCACCCATTTCATCTTCTTGATATGCACTTTGTATCACATTATGTTGCTGTACAAAACCTTGAGGTTTGGGCTTTATTACAACTAACCAATCATGTTTATCTCTAAATCCAGTGGGATATTGTCTGGCATAATAAACTTGACTTGCATGGTGTGCTATGATAAATGATCAAATTTAGCATATCTCCTAATATGTGTGGCTTTTGTTATATCATATAAAGGATGCACCCTTGTGCCTTTATTTTGAACTAGTTCATATCACTCATAATTGAATACAAATATGGGATTATCTTATTTACCTGTATATTATAATTGAATAATCTTCTTTAAAATATCATATTAGTCACTTCACTTTCAGCATGAGTACTCTCTCTAACACATACACCATATTTTTTAGTTTTTCTTCCCTCACTCTATGACTTGACGTGAAATCTAAAACTATTGACAAGAAAAATCAACCACATTTTGATAATTATCATCGATCCCCATGTAAGTTCATGCAACCCATTAACTCTCATTATATTGAAAGGACTCTGAACCTAAAATAAATAAATAAATATATATATATATATATATATTAAATTGATCAAGAAAATAATTTATTTATATTTTTAATCTACTTAAAAAAAAAACTATAAATTTTGAGAGAGACCTATTTTAACATGGAGTTTTCTAATTATTTTTAAAATTTTGAAGGATACATTCTATCATTCACATTTAATAATATGTATTTAAATTAAAGAGATTAAAAAAAAAAGAAATACTTTGAAAGAGAGTGAATCTCTCACCTAACACTTCAATTTCTCTTTTTCTCTCTAGTTGCACAAAAAAAGTGCTACACCTGAATATTTTCTCCAATTTAGTACAGTTGAACCAAATAATTTTGATATCATAAACAGTATTAATCATATTTGATATCCTATTTGATATGAGATTATTACACACACTTAAAAATTAGAGAGAGTCGGCTTAGATGATTTGGTCACATAAAATGACGACCTTCTGATGACCCGGTTATGAAAATAGATATATTAGATTTGATGTATGTTAAGAAAGGTAGAGTTTGACCTAAAAAGACATGTTTAGAAAATATTAGAAATGACATTTCTTTATTAGATTTAAATGAGAATTTAATTTTTAATATATCACAATAAAGAAAAAGAATTCATGTAGCCGACCCCACATAATGGGATAAAAACTTCATGTTGTTGTACTGCTAAAAAATTATTTTAAGAAACAATAAAAAAAATCATCCCAAATGAAGCCTTAAAATCATACTTGACTTTTTCAGAATAAAAGATAATTATACTTAATTTTCACCTCCCTTAACATGAATAAAAACTCTTGCTCTGGCTGGCCTTTTGTTTGTTTGTTTTTTGTTTTTTTTTTTTTGGGAAATGGCCTTTTGTTTGTTATTCATAAATATCTTTATAAAAGAAATAAATAATGCAAGCATATATATTCCTTTTTCCCTTACTAGCCTTGGGATGACCCCTCCATAGATTTCATAGTATGCTTTGCAAGAGCTCTTTGAGGAAATGATAGTACTTTTAAAGTGGTCAATAGATTTATCAAAATTATACAATTCTTACCCTATTAAAAAATAAAGCTAACAACAACAATAACATAAAACCTTTATCCCACTACGTAGGGTCGGCTACATGAATCCTTTTTCTCCATTGTGCCCTCTTAAAAGTTAAATTCTCATTTAAATCTAATAAAGAAATGTCATTTCTAATATTTTCTTATCAAATCTTTTTAGGTCTACATCTACCCTTTTTAACATAAATTAAATCTAATACATCTACTTTCTTAACCGGGTCATCGGAAGGCCTCCGTTTTATGTGACCAAACCATCTAAGTCGACTCTCTCTAATCTTATCTTCCACTGAAGCTACTCCAACCTTTTCACGTATATGCTCATTTCGTATCCTGTCTCTAAGAGTAAAGCAACTCATCCACTTGTGCATCCTCATCTCAGCAACACTTAATATTATGCTTCTCTTTTAATGACCAACATTCTGCACTATAAAGCATTACAAGTCTAACTACTATCTTATAGAATTTTCTCTTAAGTTTGAGGGGGGCTTTTCTAAACCAAAATCCCAATACAAAGAAATAATTTCCTACCGTGGCCAGCAAATTAGAAATAATTTCCTACCGTGGCCAGCAAATTAAAAAAAACTAACCATTCATACAAAAGCCATTCAATTCCCTAATATCCTAAACCACTGATACGGAGTTCCCCCCTTGCATTAAAAAGAAAAATAAAAACTTCTAATTTCATAACCTTATCTCCATAAACCTTCCAACACCATCTCAAAAGATCACCAATCAAATTGTTGCCTTCATATTCTATAGAACTTACATCAATCCAACTGATCCAAGACACCTGAAAGATCCTCTCAGATTTTTCTAAATTTATATGAGCAACTCAGAGTGGAAAAAAATATTTGAAAAGATGCTCAATGGTTCACATAATAGCAATTAGCATTGGTATATTTATACAGGCTTATCTGCTATTTGATGCCACTCGAATAACAGATAACAGAAAGGGTTAAAAAAAGATGTACATTGCTGAATGAAGGAATGGCTGAAAGAAAAGCTGGTACCTAATGAGCTCCAATTTTCTTTTATCCTCTGGACTTTTCTTACCCTTTTCTCCTTATTCCGTTCATGGGTCATTTGCCGATCCCATTGCATTGGCGGACGAATCCATTGCTTAAAGTATCCTTCCGCTTAAGATTGAATTTGTTTATTCCCCATATACGAATTGTGTGATCATCGCTGCCAGATGCAAGCATGTGAGGGTTTACAGGGTTCCAGCTAACACAATTTACTGCACCAGAATGCCCAGGCAAGACTCGAATCAGAGTCCCAGCTTTCCTGTGCCAGATATATACCTGTTCGTGAAACAAAAATAAGATTAAGAGTAAATCTTTCATTAAAAACCAAAAAGAGGATGAAGAAGGAACACAATGCATATGATTTCAATAATAGCAAAAATTGTCTAATACAGATCGATTTCAAACCAAACTTACTGGATCTGAAGAAGGCATTCAGGCAAATAAACAACACTAAATGGGCTTCTCTATATTAAAAGAGCTGCATATGCAAAATCCGAGTTATCTTCAGAATATTCAAAGAGCATGTCAGGTGAAATCAAGTCAAAAAGAGCTTTTGCCAATTCAGCTAGGAGAAACAGCAAATTTGAACTTCAGCACAATAAGGCTACTCTCCAAGGACATAATTTACCAGGACGAGAGAAATGAACTTTTATTTACCAAATTATAATATATATATAAGATAAAAGGAAGGATATCGATATAGAATGGCATTACATCACATCCAATAAAACCACGATATCCAATAAGCAAGGTTACCTATTATGTAAAAGGATTTTTTGTTCTCAAAAAGGCATTGTAGTTTATCATTCTGCATGCTTGTTTGACAATCTTTCACAAACTATTCAACTTAATTTAGAGGAAAAAAACAAAGTTAATGGGATGCACCTGTGAATCTTCACTTCCGCTTGCAATGAAAGAGTCCTCAAATCCCCCAAAACAAGACCTTATGACAAACCGGCTGTGTTTGTGGCCTGCATACTTTGCTACAAGCAAAGGAGCATCAGCTATATTCCACAAATGAATCTCCTGGTTCAAAAGATTCACCAGTAGGAACTTCTCGTCCTTTGACAATGAAAATGAAGTGATCATTTGATCCTCTTCAATCAATTTCTCGATTCTTGCTTCCCTGTCAAGCAACAGTATTGTCATTTCCCGGCACATCGTTATGATATGTCTGCCATCTTTCGTGACAGCCATATCTGAATTCTTTGTTGTTCGCTGCCCTTTCCAACAATCTACTTCATTCCCCTCTAGATCCCACAGTGATATGCTCCTGTCTGTAACGCAGCAGAAGAACTGCTTCCCATCTGGGGACCAAACACAAGAGATTAGGCCAAGACCACTTTTTTCATATACATGTAAACACACGCCTAAGTGAACATCCCAGCATCTGATGGATTCTTCCATGCCACACGAGAGAAGATAGCGGTCATCAGGGCTCCAAGCAATCGTTACGACTGGTTTTTGGTGACCATGTAGAGTGTGCTTTAATAAAACTTCTGCATCTTCATGGACCTGCAGTAATAAATGCATCTTTAAACATTTATATCCTGTGACTATCCCTGGAAAACTAGAAAACTAGAAAACAATGAGAGATGCTCCCTTTTATAAAACCCTAAAGAATTCTATCTTTCAAAGGCTTCAACTTCGACCTATGGAATTCATAAGAGGTATACACAAAAAACAAAAGCTTTAAATAATAGAATGCACGATTGTTAAAAAAAAAAATTCATGTAAATTAATAATAGGAACAAAAAAATAGTGAAGACTTTTCCTAAAAAAAGGGTATACCTAGTGCGTAAACCTACTACCAATACAATATCTGAAAAGAGCATATACAAAACCATGATCAACTGGAGCTCATTTGTGCCCCAATTGGTAAGAACATGACTGCTCTTGCGTATGATGCCATGCTTTCCAGCCCATCTAATCGGTGCCGGTGGATAACCAAGCTTCAACTCCGCCCAAGGGAGAGGATCTTTTGGTGGCAGCTCATGAGAAATACAATTCCAACAAATCAGTGGCTGCATTATAGAGGGCTTAGTGTTTCGACCACCTGCCCCTGGGGCTGTCAGGTTAATGAAGATAATTCCTTTGTTGCTGTCCAGTGCAACAACCTGCAGCGCATTTTGCAAACTTTAATCAATTGGGGCTAGCTCTCACTGAATTTTGCAAGCTTGACTGATCAAACCGTGCTCAACGACTTCAACATCGTGCGATCTCGCATCTATTGTTTGGCGGTCTACCAAAGTTGAAGAGTTGGGAATGCTAGGAAGCAACCGTTCAGCCATTATTCTTGAATTGTTCACTCGTTCTTGGACTTATCCCATCTAGAAGCATCGGGACACTACTCAGCCTCCGGCGCTGCATACTTCTTACTTGTGGTGGCCCCCTTCTTGGATGGTTCAAAATTAACGTGGACGAAAGGTTCCTATCATCATGCAAGGATGACAATTGGGCATTTATCAGAAATAAACATGGGACTTTATTGTTGTGGCCAGCCATGCTTGTGAGCACTGGGACATCACTTATACTGAAATGGAAGCCATGCTTTCATTAAGCACCTCATTGAGCGTGAATGTTTTTTTTATTGGTTGCCTCCTCTCAGGCATATGAGCGATGGATGTATAACCTCAAGGGTATCACCATAGAAGATGACAATGAAAGTGTCACTAATTATCTCTAAAGCTTTACAAAAGAACAGTGGAAAAGTCAGCGACAAGCTGCTCCAGACCTCACCTTCCTGCATCAATTCCGTCGTGTGATATTTCATCATATTTCAAGGTGATGCAACAAAGTTGCTAATTTTTGTGCACGCTATGTATTACATTGTAATTTTGATTAGAAATTTCATGATAGTGAGAACCTTCCTTCTGCTTTTTTTTTATTTGTTGAAGGAAAATAGTGATAGTTTTGTACACCTATAATTAAACTTTTGTTTCTTCTTTGTTAATGCAAATTGCAAGTTTCAAAGAAAGAGCACATATATGCAAATTTACCCTTATAAAACAAGTTGTTGTTTCCGTAACTCAAACCTCTAAACTCCTACATATAATAAATACAACTACCGATGATCCCAGGCCCAAACCCTCAAGTTTTATTTCCCATCATAAATTCTAGTTAGACGTGTCACAAGCTTGTCTCAAGGACAACTTAATCAATACCTTAGAAGCTTGAATGATTTTTTTCTCATCTTTCACTAAAAAAATGTTGTCATAGGTTATCTAATAAATAATTAAAATTTTGAAAGTAACACTTTATTAAAAGAACTGTCCACAGAGAAGTACGTTTCCGTGTATCTTTAGTTTCTGCTCTCAAACATTTCTTAGAACAAAAGAATATATAATTTCTCCAAAATGTGGCTGATTAGGATTCTGTTAGACCGGTCCAGCCGGTCCAGGCGGGACCGGTTCACGGGCCAAAGATCGCGAAACAGGCGGAAGCCGCACGCACGCACGCCGCCGATGGTCCCGCACGCCGAATAGGAAGGTTTTTGAATGGATTTTAGGTGGGAAATTGATTGTAGGGATTGTTTAGGGAATTCCTTTTGATTTGTATGCATTAAATAGATGTTTTTTCTAGGGTTTGAGTATCTTGAATTTGGCTGAAATTTGAGATCTCTTAGATTTAGGTTTTCTTTGGGCTCTAGCGGCGTCTAGAGATTTGGGAGAGATCGATCCTCCTCTCGAATTGAGGATCAATTGTATCTTTGCTGTTTTCTTCTTCTTCTAGTGAAATACAAGCTTCTACTTGAGTTTTTCTCTACGTTTTCCCTGTTTCCTGCTGTTTGGCTGCTGTTGGCTGCTGTGGACAGCAGTTTACTGCTGAAATTTTACTGATTTTGGTGAGAAACACTTGGAAATCCAAGTATTTCCTATCAGATTCCAATAGTTGGAAAAACTAGTAGTAGAGAATGTGTCCTTACAGTCCACCATAGTCTAGAAATCAGAGTTTAGAGGCATGAAAATTAGCAAGGCATAACTTCATATAGCATTCTTGTCAACTTTGCGGCAAAATTCCCTACAATCCAGGCTTGGAGAATAAGGAACTTTGAGAAAAAGAATAATCGAGAACCCTCGAGCACAAAGCATCATGCAAAACTAATGATAAGATAGCTCAACAGGAGTGGTTAAGTACCTAGAATAAGCACAACGTAATCCTTGTAAATTCAAGGAATAATTTTCAAGCACATCTCAATACATTTAGGGTTATTATGAAATATACAGAAAAATTTTTAACAAGAAGCACAAGAAAAAAAAGCAATAGAACTCCATGCCAAGAAGGTCAACTTTTCAGCACTACCCAATTTTGTTGCTAATGCTGACTAGTTCTATCTACAAAATCATCATGTGCCTTATGCATTTTCATGCAAAATAATAGGGGAAAATTTTGAGACAAGATTTTCTAACTATATTTTTAATCAAGAAGGATCTCAAATCCCTTGGATTTGCTTTGAGAATTGAGATGAGTGCACTATTAATTAGCTGAGAATTGCACTCATCTCAAAGCAAATCCAAGAGCTTTAAAATTTTTACTAACCAATTTTTTTAGTTAGGATATCCTGAACCAAAATTTAAAATAATAGGTGACCTCTTTAAGTTCCTCTTCAAAATTTACTCTCAAGTCAGATCATGAGTGTGAGTAGAAGATATTACTGCTAGTTTATGGATCATTGAATACTAAGGAAATAAGCATAAGATAAGCAGAGATCTCAACATGAGGGGAACCAAAATTGCCTGAACATCCGGAGAAACCAAAGAAAAATGCAGCGTAGAAGTGGGCATCAAACATGCTCTCGTCCTACCTCTTCCAACATTCACCCCTTAAACTACCTAACTTGAACCGCTTTTCTCACCCACTATTTCTAACACTAAGATGACTGCTACCATAACATCCCTTTTTGTTCTCCGCATAAACCCAAGCTCATCTACTACCTTCCCACCTATTCCATTGCATTTCATTCACCATATCATATACAAAATATTGCCAAAATTTGTTAAAAAGTCCAACTACACTGATTTGATGCAAGTATTGGAAACGAGTAAAATTCAAATAAATATGTTTTTATTTGAAATATATTTTTAGACTAACTGATTCAGAATTTTGTTGCAAAAACATTATTATGGAAAGGTCTAAATCAAAATTTGAATAAAATTTTTATTTAAACTCCGCCTCCATAGACTCCTAGAAGTGCATGAAGGTGAAAGGGCTATCATGCACGCATGTGTGCTATGTGCGACAAGGAACAAGGTGGTTGGGGTTGTTGGCCATGAAAATCAAGAGTTATGACAAGTGAACAGAAAAACACGGAAGTAAAATCAAAACAACTAAAAGCTGACAACTGATAAGAAGATTAAAGGGAGAGAAAAAAAAGAAGAAAAGGCGTTGGAGGAAAAAAAATTTAAGAGCAAGAAGAAAAAAAAAAGAGAGAAAAAGGAGTGAAACAATTTCTCCCCTTGTTTGTGACCATGATGATAGGAAACACTTGAGGATCACAAGTGAAAACCAATCAATCTTGGAAAAACAACATGAAATCTCCACAAAACTCCAAGGAAAAACTAGAAAAACAACAATTTATTACAATAATCAGAGATAACGGAAGAAAAATACCAAGATACAGTTGATCCTCAATTTGAGAGGATCTTCTGTCCCAATCCCAATCACTAGACACCGCTAGAGCCCAAGAATGCAAAACAACAAGACACAAAATCAATCACAAACATCCAGATAATCCTAACCCTAATATTTCCTTCCTACTTAAAGCATACAATTAAACAACACAAGGCAAATCCCTATAAAGCCCTAGCCACCCCCTCTTTCCTAATGGGATTCCCTAGTGGGCCCCATAATTGCCTCGAGCAGAAATTCCTAGGGTACAGACCTGCTTGGTCTGCCTCATGTAAACCTGAGCCGGCCCTTTGCCTAGGGCCGGCTAGACCGGTTCAGCATGGACCAGTCTAACACATGGCAAATTATCTTATGTGTAATAAGCATAATGGTGTTGGAGTTAGTGCAGTTGTGCTATAGATAAGCATGACTATGCCATAGAAAATGTTGTGCCATTTCCAAGAACACTCAAGTGAAGATATTCTGATATTATCTTGATCTTCTATGTTTATCATTTCTCAACTCTCTTGATATTAGAAAATTTTCATGTTTATTTGGCTAGAGAGATTCAAAACTTTGTTTATGGTGAGATTGGATGAGTTTGGTTTGGATGATGAGCATTTATTTACCCTATTTGTTTGCACATGTAAGACCTTGATAGTGGATCGATTTCACTCTCCTCTATATAGAGTATTATTTTATTCAAAACAAATAAAGCTTGAGCCTTCTATAACTTAGCCTCTTTATCATTACTTTGCATGTTCATCATTTCATTCCTAGGAGGCGCTTATGCATAAACAAGCATGTTTTTTTCTAACTAACATCAAAGCTTAAATTGAAATTTTGAAATATGAGATAAAGAAGTTCAATGCCTTGGTGAACCATGATGCGACGTATTTTAGTCTAGC